TTTTCCTTCATTTTACTTCTTCTTTCCTTGTTTCTTTTCTCTTTTTCCTCTTTCTCTTATTTTTTTCTTTTCTTACTTGTTTTTTTCCTTCATTTTACTTCTTCTTTCCTTGTTTCTTTTTTCTTTTCCTCTTTCTTATTTTCTTTCTTCTTATTTTTCCTTTCTTTTCTTCTTTGTTTCTTTTCCTTTCTTTTTCTCTTTTTTCTCTTTCTTTTTTTTCTTTCCTCTTTTTCTTTCCTTCTTTTCTCTTATTTTTCTCTTTTCTTACTTTCTTTCTTCATTTCATTTTACTTCTTCTTTCCTTGTTTTCTTTTCTCTTTTCCTCTTTCTCTTTTTTTTTTTCTTTCTTGTTTTCTTTTCCTTCTTTTTACTTCTTCTTTCCTTGTTTCTTTTCTCTTTTCCTTTTTCTCTTTTTTTCTCTTTTACTTGTTTCTTTCCTTCATTTTACTTCTTCTTTCCTTTTTCTTTTCTCTTTTCCTCTTCTTCTTATTTTTCTCTTTCTTACTTGTTTCTTTCCTTCATTTTTTCTTCTTTTTCCTTTTTTTTTTCTTTTCCTCTTTCTTTCTCTTATTTTTCTCTTTCTCTAACCTTTCTTTTCCTTCATTTTACTTCTTCTTTCCCTTGTTTCTTTTCTCTTTTCCTCTTTTCTTATTTTTCTCTTTCTTACTTGTTTCTTTCCTTCATTTTACTCTTTCTTTACTTCTCTTTCTTTTCTCTTTCCCTTTTTTCTTATTTTTTCTCTCTTTTCCTTCTTTCTTTTTTTTCTTTTTATTTTTCTTTCTTTTTTTTTTACTTTTCTTTTCTTTTTTTTTCTCTTTTTTCTTTTTTCTTACTTTTTCTTTCCTTCATTTTTACTTCTTCTTTCCTTTTTCTTTTCTCTTTTCCTCTTTCTCTTATTTTTCTTTCTTTACTTGTTTCTTTCCTTCATTTTTCTTCTTTTTCCTTGTTTCTTTTCTTTTCCTCTCTTTCTCTTATTTTTCTCTTTCTTACTTGTTTCTTTCCTTCATTTTACTTCTTCTTTCCTTGTTTCTTTTCTCTTTTCCTCTTTCTCTTTTTTCTCTTTCTTACTTGTTTCTTTCCTTCATTTTTCTTCTTCTTTCCTTTTTTCTAACCTTCTTTTCCTCTTTCTCTTATTTTTTCTCTTTCTTACTTGTTTCTTTCCTTCATTTTTACTTCTTCTTTCCTTCTTTTTCTTTTTCTCTTTTCCTCTTTCTCTTATTTTTTTCTCTTTCTTACTTGTTTTCTTTCCTTCATTTTACTTCTTCTTTCCTTGTTTCTTTTTCTCTTTTTTCTTTCTCTTATTTTTTCTCTTTCTTTCTTGTTTCTTTCCTTCATTTTTTCTTTCTTTTTCCTTCTTTTCTTTTCTCTTTTTTCTCTCTTTCTCTTATTTTTCTCTCTTTCTCTTTTTCTTTCCTTCTTTTACTTCTTCTTTCCTTGTTTCTTTTCTCTTTTTTCTTTCTCTTATTTTTTCTCTTTCTTACTTGTTTCTTTCCTTCATTTTACTTCTTCTTTCCTTGTTTTTTTTCTCTTTTCCTCTTTCTCTTATTTTTTCTTTCCTTTTCTTTCCTTCATTTTTCTTCTTCTTTCCTTGTTTCTTTTCTCTTTTCCTCTTTTCTTATTTTTTCTTTCTTCTTTTTCTTTCCTTCATTTTACTTCTTCTTTCCTTGTTCCTTTTCTCTTTTCCTCTTTCTCTAACCTTTTTTCTCTTTCTTACTTGTTTCTTTCCTTCATTTTACTTCTTCTTTCCTTGTTTCTTTTCTCTTTTCCTCTTTCTCTTATTTTTCCTTTCTTTCTTGTTTTCTTTCCTTCATTTTTTTCTTCTTTCCTTTTTCTTTTCTCTTTTTCTTTCTCTTATTTTTTCTCTTTCTTACTCTTTTCTTTCCTTCATTTTTCTTCTTCTTTCCTTGTTCTTTTTCTCTTTTCCTCTTTCTCTTTTTTCTCTCTTTCTTGTTTCTTCCTTCATTTTTCTCTTCTTTTCTTTTTCTTTTTCTCTTTTTCTCTTTCTCTTTTTTTTTTCTTTTGTTTTTTTTTCCTTCATTTTACTTCTTCTTTCCTTGTTTCTTTTTCTCTTTTCCTCTTTCTCTTATTTTTCTCTTTCTTACTTGTTTTTTTCCTTCATTTTACTTCTTCTTTCCTTGTTTCTTTTCTCTTTTCCTCTTTCTCTTATTTTTCTCTTTCTTACTTGTTTCTTTCCTTCATTTCCTCTTCTTCTTTCCTTGTTTCTTTCTTTTCCTCTTTTCTTCTTTTTTCTTTCTTTTTCTTTTTCTTCCTTTTTCTCTTTTCTTTCCTTGTTTCTTTTTCTTTTCCTTTTCTATTTCTCTCTTTCTTATTTTTCTTTTCTTCTTTTTCTTTCCTCTTTTTTTTCTTTCTCTTTCCTTTTCTTTTTTCTTTCCTTCCTTTTTCTCTCTTTTTCTTCTTTCTTTTCTCTTTCTTTTCCTTATTTTTCTAACCTGTTTCTTTCCTTTTCCTCTCTTTTCCTCTTCTCTTTCCCTCTTTCCTTATTTTCTCTTTTCCTCTTTTTCTTCCCTTTCTTTCCTTCTTCTTTCTCTTTTTCTTTTCTCTTTTCCTTTCTTTCTTATTCCTCTTTTTTCTCTTTCTCTGACCTTTCTTTTGTTTCTTTTTTCCATTTTACTTCTTCTTTCCTTTTTTCTTTTTCTCTTTTCCTTTTCTCTTTTTTCTCTTTCTTTGTTTCTTTCCTTCATTTTTCCTTCTTCTTTCCTTTTTTCTTTTTCTCTTCTCCTCTTTCTTTTCTTTTTCTTTCTTTTCTTCTTTCTTTCCTTTTTCTCTTCTTTTTTTCTTTTTTTCTTTTCCTCTTTCTCTTATTTTCTCTTTCTAACCTTTCTTTCCTTCCTTTTTTCTTCTTTCTTTATTTCTTTTCTTTTCTCTTTTCCTCTTTTTCTCTTTCTTTTTCTCTTTTTCTTCATTTTACTTCTTCTTTCCTTGTTTCTTTTTCTTTTCCTCTTTCTCTTATTTTTTCTTTTTCTTTGTTTCTTTCCTTCATTTTACTTCTTCTTTCCTTAGTTTCTTTTTCTCTTTTCCTCTTTCTCTTACCTTTTTCTCTTTCTTCCTTGTTTCTTTCCTTCATTTTACTTCTTCTTTTCTTTTTCTTTTTCTCTCTTTTCCTTTTTCTCTTACCTTTCTTTCCTCTTATTCTCTTTTTCCTCTTTTCTTTTTTCTTTCCTCTTTTCATTTTTTCCTCTTTTCTCTTCTTTCTTTCCTTATTCTCTTTTTCCTTTTCTCTTCCTTTTTTTCTATTCCTCTCTTTTTTCTTTCTCTTATTTTCTTTCCTTATTTTTTTTTCTTTTCTTTTTACTTCTTCTTTCTTGTTTTTCTCTTTTCCTCTTTCTCTAATTTTTCTCTTTCTTACTTGTTTCTTTTCCTTCTTTCTCTTCTTCTTTCTTTCCTTTTCTTTTCTCTTTTCCTCTTTTCTCTTATTTTTCTCTTCTTTCCTCTTTTCTTTCTTTCATTTTACTTCTTCTTTCCTTGTTTTCTTTTCTCTTTTCCTCTTTCTCTTATTTTTTTCTTTTTTTCCTTTCTTTCCCTCTTTTCTTCTTCTTTCCTTTCTTTCTTTTTCTCTTTTCCTCTTTCTCTTAACCTTTTTTTCCTTATTCTTTCTTTCCCTCTTTCTTTTTTCTTTCCTTTTCCTTTTCCTCTCTTTTCATTTTCTCTTTCCTTTCTTTTCCTCTTTTTTCCTCTTTCTTGACCTTTCTTTTTCCTTCATTTTACTTCTTCTCTTTCCTTTGTTTCTTTTCCTCTTTTTCCTCTTTCTCTTATTTTTTCTCTTTCTTATTGTTTCTTTTCCTCATTTTTCTCTTCTTTCTTTCCTTTTCTCTCTTTTCCTCTTTTTCTTATTTTTTTCTTTCTTATTTGTTTTTTCCTTCATTTTACTTTTCTTTCCTTCTTTCTTTTTTCTCTTTCTCTTTCTCTATTTTTCTCTTTTTTTCTTGTTTTCTTTCCTTCATTTTCCTTCTTCTTTCCTTTTTCTTTTCTCTTTTCCTCTTTCTCTTATTTTTCTCTTTCTCTTTCTCTAACCTTTCTTCCTTTTACTTCTTTTTTCCTTTTCTCTTTTTTCTTTTCCTTATTCTCTTTTTTCCTCTTTCTTATTTTTCTTTTCCATATCTCTATTTTCCTCTTTCTTTCCTTCTTTCTTTTTCTCTTTTCCTCTTTTCAGCCTTTTCTCTTATTCCTCTCTTTTCCTCTTTCTCTAACCTTTCTTTTCCTTATTCCTCTTTTTTCCTCTTTCTCTAACCTTTCTTTCCTTTCTCTTCTTTTCCTCTTTCTCTAACCTTTCTTTTCCTTATTCTCTCTTTTCCTCTTTCTCTTGTTTTTTTTTCCTTTTCCTCTCTTCTCCTCTTTCTCTAACCTTTCTTTCCCTTATTCCTCTTTTTCCTTCTTTCTCTCTAACCTTTCTTTCCTTATTCCTCTCTTTTCCTCTTTCTCTAACCTTTCTCTTCACTTATTCCTCACTTTCCTCTTTCTCTAACCTTTCTTTCCTTATTCCTCTCTTTTCCTCTTTCTCTAACCTTTCTTTCCTTATTCCTCTTTTTTCCTCTTTCTCTGACCTTTCTTTCCTTATTCCTCTCTTTTCCTCTTTCTCTAACCTTTCTTTCCTTATTCCTCTTTTTTCCTCTTTCTCTGACCTTTCTTTCCATATCTCTATCTTTTCCTCTTTCTCTAACCTTTCTTTCCTTATTCTTCTTTTTTCCTCTTTCTCTGACCTTTCTTTCCATATCTCTATCTTTTCCTCTTTCTCTGACTTTTCTTTCCTTATTCCTCTCTTTTCCTCTTTCTCTAACCTTTTTTTCCAATATCTTTCTCTTTTCCTCCTCCTCTTACCATTCTTTTCATATCACACTCTTTTTCTCCTCCTCTTACTGTTCTTTTATCTCTCTTTTCCTCATTCTTTTATTTTTCTTTCTATATCTCTTTCTTTTCCTCTTCATCTTACTATTCTTTCTATATCACTCTCTTTTCCTCTTCATCCTATTAACTTTCTTTCCATGTCTCTCTCTTTTCCTCTTTCTCTTACCTTTCTTTCCCTATCTTTCTTTTCCTTTCCTCTTTCATTGATATGGAATGAAAGAGGAGGTGGAAAAGAAAGTAATGTAGAAAAAAAGGTTAACCTTTTTCATCCTTTCTTTTCCCAGTGAAAGAGGAAAAAATGTAAACCTGAAAAGTTAGAATGAAAGGAAAAAGTGATATAAAAGAATAATGAATGAAAAAAATGAAAAGAAAAATGTAAAAAGTAAAAGAAAGAGGAAAAGAGAGATATCAAAAAAGCAGTAAGCTTCTTACCTTTTTTCCACATCACTTTCTTTTCTACCTTCTCTTTCATTCCATATCACTCTTTTCCCCTTTCTTTTACCCTTTTCCCATATCACACATTTTTCTTCCTTTTCTCTCTTTTCTCCCTCCTCCTCTTACCTTTCTTTTTATATCACTTTCTTTCCCTCTTTTTCTTATCTTTCTTTCTATATCACTCGTTTTTGTCCTCTTTTCACTTGACTTCACATATCACTCTTTCTAATTTTACACTCTTTTTCTCTTTTGCTAACTTTTATAGTCCCTCTACCTCTCGATTTTCTTTATCCTTTTTATTTTCATTATCATTATTCACTCATCACACTCCCATGTATTTATCTTCTTTTATTCCGCTTTTCCATTTATATGCTGCTATTTTTTTTTCTATTTTTAGATCTGCATATTTCTCAATTATTCATTAATTCTCTCTTCTTTTCAACCTTCTGAACAGTCTTTCATACCACATTCTTTTCCATCCTGCGCTCACTCTTTTTCTCTTCATTTCATTCCTTTCCAATATTTTCTTTCTGTCTTCCATATTCTTTTTCACATCTCTTCATTTCATTCCTTTCCAATATTTTCTTTCTGTCTTCCATATTCTTTTTCACATCTCTTCATTTCATTCCTTTCCAATATTTTCTTTCTGTCTTCCATATTCTTTTTCACATCTCTTCATTTCATTTCCTTTCAATATTTTCTTTTCTGTCTTCCATATTCTTTTCTCATCTTTCATTTAATTCCTTTCCAATATTTTCTTTCTGTCTTCCATATTCTTTTTTCTCTTCTTTTCATTTAATTCCTTTCCAATATTTTCTTTCTGTCTTCCATATTCTTTTCTCATCTCTTCATTTCATTTCCTTTCCAATATTTTTCTCTCTGTCTTCCATATTCTTTTTCATCTCTTCATTTCATTCCTTTCCAATATTTTCTTTCTGTCTTCCATATTCTTTTTTCATCTCTTCATTTCATTCCTTTCAATATTTTTCTTTCTGTCTTCCATATTCTTTTTCACATCTCTTCATTTCATTCCTTTCCAATATTTTCTTTCTGTCTTCCATATTCTTTTTCACATCTCTTCATTTCATTCCTTTCCAATATTTTCTTTCTGTCTTCCATATTCTTTTTCTCATCTTTTCATTTAATTCCTTTCCAATATTTTCTTTCTGTCTTCCATATTCTTTTTCTCATCTCTTCATTTCATTCCTTTCCAATATTTTCTTTCTGTCTTCCATATTCTTTTTCTCATCTTTTCATTTAATTCCTTTCCAATATTTTCTTTCTGTCTTCCATATTCTTTTTCTCATCTCTTCATTTCATTCCTTTCCAATATTTTCTCTCTGTCTTCCACATTCTTTTTCTCATCTCTTCATTTCATTCCTTTCCAATATTTTCTTTCTGTCTTCCATATTCTTTTTCTCAACTCTTCATTTCATTCCTTTCCAATATTTTCTCTCTGTCTTCCACATTCTTTTTCTTATTCTCTTTCTGTTCTTTTCTTTCATTCTCCATGTTACTGCCATTTATTTGAATTAGGCTAAAATTGAAATCAGGAATTGAATATTGTTATCTTTTTCTCAATTTACTACTCAAATATTTCATTTCTTTTCTTCTTTCTTCCATTTTTAATCCTCTCCAGATCCCTTACATTTTAAAATTGTATCTTTTTTCTTTGTCATCTACTCCTCTCTCTATTTTCCTATTTCTCCTTGTTACTATTCTCTCTTTTTAAAACTGATGTCTGAATCAACTTTGAGTCAAATTCAATCAAGTGAATTACTTGTCATTTTTGACAAATATCTAATGTTTTACTATCTTCTTTAAATGGTGTTTACCATAATGTTTTCAAAAGCACAACAGGAATCTCTTAAAATGTCTGCACGAAACTAGAATCAATTTGGTACCTCGCAAGAATTCTAATTCTAATTTTCAACTCATTTGATTAAATTCTCTCTTTCTTTTATGATTTTAATTTTCCTTTCTTTCTTTTTTTCCTACATTCTTTTCATCAACTTAGATTTTTTATTTTATGCCTTTTCTTCCTTTCTTCTTTTCTTTCTTTCCCTTAACTTGGATTTTTATTTTTTGCCTTTCTTTCTTTCTTTCTTTCTTTCTTTCTTTCTTTCTTTCTTTTCCTTAACTTGTATTTATTCTGCCTTTCCTTCATTCGTTCTTTCTTCCATTTTTTACAGTTTTATTTTCTGCTTTTCTTCCTTTCTTTCCTTCCTACTCTCTTTTCTTCAACTTGGATCTTTTTATTTTATATCTTTCCTCTTTTCTTTCTTTGTTTCCTTCCTTCTGTATTTCTTTCTTTCATTCTTTATTTCTTTCTTTCTTTCTTTTTTCTCTTACATTTTTCTTTTTCTTTCTGCTTTGTTTTGCTTTTTTTTCCTTTCTTTCCTTTTCTTTCTTTTTTCTTTCTGCCGTACTTTCTTTTCCCTTTTCTTCTTTCTTTCCTTCTTTACTTTCTTTCCTTCTTTACTTTCTTTCCTTCTTTACTTTCTTTCCTTCTTTACTTTCTTTCTTTCTTCATTTCTTTCCTTCTTTATTTCTTTCTTTCCTTTTCCTTCTTTCTTTCTTTCTTTCCTTTTTCCTTCGTTCTTTCTTTCTTTATTTATTTCTTTCCTTCTTTATTTCTTTCTTTCCTTCTTTCTTTCTTTCCTTCTTTACTTTCTTTCTTTTTTCTTTCTTTATTTCTTTCTTTCCTTTTTCCTTCTTTCTTTCTTTCTTTATTTCTTTCTTTCCTTCTTTCTTTCTTTCTTTATTTCTTTCTTTCCTTCTTTCTTTCCTTCTTTCTTTCTTTCTTTCTTTCTTTCTTTCTTTCTTTCTTTCTTTCTTTTCCTTATCTTAGATTTTAATTCTCTATCCTAACTACTTTTTCTCCTTCTTCATTCCTTACATTCCTTAGCCTCTCTTCTTTGTTTTCTCAACTCTCTTTCACTTCCTTTCTTACTCTTAACTTTCAATGCTAAATAAATTATCTAACTTTAATGGGCAGATTAAGTTTGCTTTTTTTAGCCTCAACACATGAAAATCTTTTACTTAATTTTACTCTAAAACATCTGGCCTCCAGGCAAAAGCACAAATTTTGCATACATTTGTATCATATCTTGATTTTATTTTATAATTACAAAGATTTAGCATTTTTTGTTCATGATGAAGATCGGACGATTCATGTTTCTTTTATGTTTAACTATCAACACAAATCCAGTGATAATCTTTTCAAATTTTTACATAACTGCTAAATTAGTGCTACACTAAATATACCCTACCTTAACTAGTTTGGTACAAGGCCACCTTCATGGAGCATTCAATGGAGTTTTAACATATGATCACCAGCATTTCTGTTGTTTAACATTGCATATATTACTATCTTTAGTAGTATCTAGGAGTAATCTTCTTCTTTGACATGCTGTGTGTGTTCCTTCAGGACGTGGGTGATCATGACTCTCCACATCATCCTATTTCTACTAGCCCATAGCAACAATTGTCCCTTTGCCAAGCTCCCTGCCCATTCTGACATCCATACACACAAGCTAATCAAGTAGGTGGCCCATTGTCTTACTCTGTCCCTCAATATGCCTTGTGAGTGTCAAATTCTTGTCTTCTTTCTTCATACGTGCAAAAAATTTCTCTTTCTGATTCTGAATATAAGTCTCCTTTTTTTCATTTTCCTTTAGACTTCTTTGTTGCTTATGCTCTCCATCCATATAATTCTCATCATCCTTCTGTAGAACCACATTTTTGTTGCCTCCAGTTCTCTCTTCATTTGTGGGAAGATTGTCCAGCAGTCACCACCATATAGGAGGATCAGTATTACATAAGTTCAGCACTGTTTTCTTTGTTTCTAACAAAATTTTCCTGTTTTTTAGTCTTTTGCTTAGCTTTTGAAAGGCATCTTTCATTAATCCAAGGTATGTTTAGAATTTGGTGTTACATTTTCCATCTCCCTGTTCAAACACTTCCCAGATATTTAAATTTCTGTACTTGTTTGATATTGACATCTCCAATTTGTAACTTGCATCTTGGGCTTTTTCCCTTACTGATGACCATACCTTTTGTCTTCTTTCAGTTGATGGTTAGTCCTTTCTTCTCCCTTTCCTTTACTAGACAATTAGGAGGTCCTATGATTTTCTTTCTATATCTGCCATCAATATAGTGTCATCTTCCTTTCTTATATTGTTAAGATTTTACCCACCAACAATAAATCCAGGTAGGATCTTCAACTCCCTTAAGATAGCTTCACTGTGGAGTTTGAAGAAATCTGGTGAGCAGACACATCCTTGTCTTATGCCCCTTTTTGTTTTTGTGTGTCAATTCAATTCATTTTCTGTCTGTATGTTTGGGATTATTCTAATATATTTCCAAAAAATGTGTTTATAATCATGTGTATTTTATATTACTGTAACACTTGAAAACATAAGAGATCATAGCTCTCCACTATTACCTATTATAACAGTTACACATAGTGCAATTGTTTTGTCATTCTGCTAGTTTAAATGCTTCATATACATGACTGTGAACTAAAGTTGGTTCAGTTCAAAAAATTATTAATAGTCAATAAGTGTCCATTAAGTGAATTGTCTTTTTTTAATATTTATTGCTACGTTTCACAATCATTTAAGATTAAACATTTGTGTAGCCAACCTCCTGTCTAGTGAAAGTGTATAGAAATTACAAACACCTTCAACTCTTAATTTTCTCAAGATGTCAAAATTTACTGAGCAAATAATTAGCTTTTAAGTATATCGCAGAAGAATTTTTACGACAGTAGATAATTACAATACAAAATAATGAAATCAAAGAAAATATACATTTTTATTGACTAATAAGATATATAGAAATGATAGAATTGTACCAATGATATTTGTGTTGAAAATTTTATTTGAAAAAGTTTGCTTATTAATCAAATAAAAAAAAAGTGTCACATCTATATTACTTACATCAAGAGTACTTATCAATATTGGTTACATCAAGAGTATTTATCTATTACTGGTTATATCAATAGTACTTAACTATATTGGTTACATCAAGAGTACTTACCTATATTACCTATATCAATAGTACTTATTTATATTGGTTACATCAAGAACACTTATCTATATTACTAGCACTTATCTATACTACTTACATCAATAGTACTTTTTATATTAGTCATATCAATAGTACTTATTTATATTATCAGTGGTACTTATCTAAATTACTTATCCGTAGTACTTATGCAACTTGTTGCATTTTTATAATAATTAAACTGAAATAAAAAACAAAAAGTGGACAATATATATATATATATATATATATATATATATATATATATATATATATATTTGGTTGGATAGATGTGAGTTTGTGACCCTGGGTTTCTAAACGGAAACCCAGGGTCACAAATCACATCTGTCCATGATCACTAAAATATGTTAACTCTATCTCTGATATTGAGCGCTTTCTAATAAGTACTGCATATAATATATAAATAATTATACATATATATATTTATTTATATTTATATACACTTTTCACATATATATATATATATATATATATATATATGAATTTTCTTTTAATCAATTCACCCCAGGCAAGGTGATAATGCCACTAAGACACAAGATACGACTGGGAATGAAAGAGAATGAAAAGACTTTTGAAGAAACCGGAAACCCAATCCTAAACATGGATCAAGGAATAAACCTCTAATCCTGTTCAAAAGTCTGGGAGGAGTATGAACTGAGTGATAGGGATCAACTCCTACTGAGAAAAAAATGAATAAATAGTAGATAAAATTTCAAAGTTCTGATGGAGACACTAGAAGAATAGAGTTGTATCAGAATATAAAAAGAACTGAAAATCCTAAACAGGAAACAATGGTTAAGCCTCTACTCCTGTTCAAAAGACCAGAGAGGAGTTTGAACTGGTCTCTAGGTGAACCTATCTACTCCCATTGTGGAAGGAAAGAAATAAACAGTAAATAAAATTGCATATTTTAAGTGAAGACGATGCATATACGAAAATATGGTCAAAAAAATAAAATGAAAGAGAAGATAAAATTAAGACCAATGAGAGTGTGGTGGTGTTCCAGATATGGGATTGACATCAAATTTATGTATTTTTTTATGGCATATATATATATATATATATATATATATATATATATATATATATATATATATATATATATAAAAGCATTGTATAGAAAATGTCATAATAGATATTGTTATTGAATATAAGAAAAAAATAATCTTTTGTCAGATGATAAGGCTCCTGAGGCATAAGAACAAAAGTCACTCTTTTTAAGGATTGTGGATCCATTATGAAATGATAACTGAGTAAAAAAAAAAAAGAAGAAATCTTTTAAATATTTAGTTTCGTGTTTCATATGAGAGAAGACATAAAATCTTTGAGAATATCTTTTACCTTTTATTCTATTTTACAATTTTATAACATTCTTTTACATGTCATATATGCAGATATTCTATAAAGAGATGTGAGAGTGTAAGCTTTGATTTAACATGCATCAGATTTTTCAATATTAAAAGCGATGCTTGTATAGATTAGCACCCAATGTTTAATTGGGAGGGAATGTCTACAAGGAATCTGATCACCGCTGAAGATCCACTGCTCTCTTAATGCAAAGATAATCCATTTCATAATTTTTCCTTTCCAAAATAACATAAAAATATCAAAGATGCAATTCTAGGCCGATTCTAGAGATACAGAAATAAACGTAGATGATATCACCTCCTTGGATATTTGTAGAGAAAGTTGATGTATTGTTCCCAATTAGCACAGAGAATGCAACTTCAAGAATAGGTGGGAAACACAGATGATTGGAAATCTTGAAATCTTAGTCTCAAGTAACCAATTATATCTATGTCAGGAGGGACATGCAGGCTGTCTCCAATTTGCTATCAGAAGACAAAACTATAAAAAGAAATCTATATTTCATATTTCAAATTTTGGTCAATACTCTGAACTGAACTGCTGAAAGAATCCATCAAAATTTTTCTTGAGGTTGCAGAACATACATTCATTTTGCTTTGAGAAATCTACTATATATATCTGGCACATCGCTGTCAATTCTTGTTGTGTTTATATGCATATTAATCTTCTCTTTACTTACATTTGCATTTACACATTTATACTCTCCATTTCATTTAATATTCAGTCAAGGCAATAAAACTACTAAGAGGCAAGGGTTTACTGAGTGTGAAAGAATATTCAAAAAAGAAAAACATTAAGAAGAGAGAACAATAAAAGAACAGGAATTAAGAAGACAGAAGGTAACAACTGATATTGCATTTAAATTTTTTAAGTGATTTTTTTATCATTTCACCCCAATCAAGGCAACAAAGCTACTAACATGTAGGCAGTTACTGAATGTGAAATTATATTAAAAAAAATCATTATTAAGAACCAAGAACAAAATTTAAGAGGAGAGAAGATAACATTTAAATTTTTGAAGATCAAACTTGACTGCAAAGCAAGAAGTCAGAAGAGAATTCCACAAGCGAGAAGTGCAAGAAAAGAAAATGCTAGCAGAGAATGGTTACATCTAACAATTTCAGCTGTCAATCTTGTAATGTGCTTAAATTCATAGAGTTTAGGTAACATAGAGAAGAGTTCATCAGAATGTTTACCATAAAGGTATTTATAGAAAAGGCACAGAGAAGCTACATTATGATAGTGGGAAAGTGACTGAAGTCAAGATGCCAGGTCAAGACCAATAACATTGCAGATTCTTCTTTGTATTTTATCAAAGTTAACTGGAAAGCAAGAAGCTGGAAAAGAGTTCGACAAGCTAGAAGTGCAAGGCAAGAAACCGTTAACATAGAACCTTCGGTCATGTCTAGCAATTTCAACTGTCAAATGATGAA